GAAGATTTGGTTCCGAGTATCATATTGGCCTCTGTTGGTGAGACCTCTTCAAAAACTATCGATCCGATGTCCGGAATGTATTCCGCCTAATCAAATAGCGGATCGCGAGGATTAACCTCATCCATTATCGGTCCTGGCCCGTAGGCATCCTCGACCGCTTGGGTCTGTTTTCCCACGCCCTTGCCTTTGCCATGGCCAGGGCCACTTAGCGCCCCTGGGGGCTTCTTGGAGTCGGGCACATTGCGCCAACTCATATCGGCCCGGCCCTCCTCATCGATGTAGACAGCGGAGAGAGGCACTCCAGCCGGCTCCTTGGACTGTTGCCGGTCTGTAGCGCCCGCAGAAGGCGGGTACGGCCTCTCGGGTCGAAGTTGACCCTCCTATCGGACTTCTCCTCTAGCCGCGGCGTTGAAGGCCGCACGTCAGTCCTTGTCAGCGGCAGCCGCTCCGGCTGCCATGGAGCCAGAAAGGGCTCCTGTGGAGTAGCGGAGGAAGAAGCTCCTCCAGTTGAGGGGTTGGCTTAGCGGGCGCCGGAGCGGAGCCCTTGGCGTAGCCGGCGTCCTGGACGGAGCCCTTAGCGAGGACCTGAAACGATTCACCAGGTCCTCTTCTGCTGATTGGTAGCGGAGCTCCAGTTGGCGCTTCTGGCGCTCTAGCGAGACCTGACTTTAGCGGCCACCTCTGCATCGGTGGCGAATAGCGTCGGATGTGGCGTCTCCGCCCTCCGACTAGCCCGGGGCCTGCTTGGCGCCCGGTTAGCGGCCTGTCTCCAGGTTGTTGTAGCAGCAGTTAGCGGAGAGCGCCTCCTTTCCAGGCCCTTCTCTGGACCGAAGTCTCTCGTGGCAAGGTTGCCGCACTAGCTGTCGAGGCTTTACTGAAGCAGCCGCCGAAGAAGTAGCGGCTCCATGAGTCACAGAGCCATCTTGGGCCTTTGAGAGCATAAGCCTCATATCGTCGATCTGGTCAGCGTGCAAGGCACCTTCGACGATATCGGACACCTTTGTCGTG